CCCGGCACTACAGTATATGTATTGACACTCCCTCCAATAAACAGAGCAAGATTCAGTGATACGCTCTTGTATAAAATATTGTCCTTTGTCAGCTTATCTCCTCAGCACAAGTAACGTTTTATCATTGATTACTATTTTATCAGAAATCAAAATTACTCTCCGTATTTACAACATTATTTACTGATTTATATTCCTTTTTAGATCCAGATAAAGACATTCTTTTCCACCAGTGGTTCTCTTTCCCCATCTCAGAGTACATTTTCCCCAAATGTTGTATTTTTAAACAGAATTAATAGCTCCACAGTGTGTGTTTCTCTGATCAGCTTAGAGCACTTAACTCTAATTTCAGACTTCAGTTACACCATTTCATCTTACACACCATTTCACCAGAAGACAACAGTGTAAGAACCATATTGCACTTGGATTTCAAAAAGCCTGAATCTGAAAGGCAAAAACCATGATGTTCTTCCAGGGAGCAATTCCTCTGAGTCATTCCTGGGAAGTGGCTTTGCATCACCGCTCCACTGAAACATAATGATCTTCAGATGCCTCATTCCCTCAAAGGAAACATCTTTAATTGGAGAAAGTAGAAGAAAAAACAATTGGGCCAAGTTTCCTCCAAGGATCTTACACTGCTGTTCACAGCTCATTTATAAGTCGTTTGCTTCTCATACCCTTTCCAAACCCCCACAAATACACACATATGTCACTTTTTCAGAAATTAGTCATTTATAAAGAAATTAATTATTTTCACCAAAGTGTTTCATAATTGCCTTTTAAAATGTACTGTTGTTATAGGCAATGCAATCAAATACAAACAAAGGACAGGGTAAGATGATGTGTATTATGGTCAAATAAGCAGACTTGTCTCCACAAATATAAAACAAAGAAGATCAAATTATCATAGACTCAAACTTCCTAATAGAGAACAGGGATCAAAGCCATCTTTCACATAAACAAATTCCAAGTATTACTACACATGTTCATTGCACTCATTAACATCTACGTGTGCTTATTTCTCAATTCATAGAAATATGCCAATCACACCAACACTAAAATCCTACCACAACCTAAATGATTATAGTTATTATATATAGATTATAGTTATTGTCCTGCCATCTTAGAACTAACAAATATCCTTCCATGGAGTCCCCATTCCTGCATTTTGTTTGTTTCTGTTTTAATTAACCAGAATCAATCTAGACACTGTAATCCTGTCTGCTCAGGAAGCTGAATTCAAATCCAGTCGGGGCAAACAAATCTGAGAGATTCTTGTTTCCAAATAACCAGCAAAAGGTCAAAAGTTGAGGTCTGACTCAACTGGTAGAGTACCAGCCATGCGGGGGAAAAAAAAGGCTAACGCCCCAAGCAGAGTTTATTTTTTCCATTCCTGGGGCTTAAACTCAGAGACTGGGTGCTGTCCCTTAGCTAGTTTTTCCTCAAGGTTAGCACTGTAGTACTTGAGCCATAGTGCCACTTCCAACTTTTATTGAGTAGTTTATTGGAGATGAATCTCCCTGACTTTTTTGCCCGGGTTCAAACAGTGAACCTTAGATCTCAGCCTCCTTAGTAGATAGGATTAGAGGCATGAGTCACCAGCACCTGGCAAAAAAAAATTTAATTGTTAAACAGAGTCTGTTTCTGTTGCACATAACTCAATATCTTAACTAATACAAATGACAAACCATATTCAATGTCATATGCTTAAAATTACAAGAGAATATCCCAACACTCTTTTCCATTCTCTCCCTCTTTCTTCTCTGCTTATAACACACTTTATGATTTTATTTTCCTCTGGTTACTTGAATTAATTATCTTTGGTGACACCAATTCCATGGTTCTAGTGATTTTGACAACTCAAAACTGTCTATCCAGCACTATGCAGAACTATAGACTACATGTAGTTCTTATGAATTAGTCAGTTATCAAGTTATTATGCATAAGGTTAGCAACACTTAATAAATTTCTAATATTTCCAGAGATATTTGCATTTTTGAAACAAATCACTGTTATTAAAAATAACTGTTTGTTAAAAATTCAAGCAGGATAGCAAAGACATTTGGAGAGTATGGGTAACTACTTTTCAAATTTTGTTCAATCACATGATTGAAATAGCTCATCAGCCTGATCATGGTTCAGTCAGATGTAAACAATGGGCTATAGACCTGACAACTAATCCACCACAGACCGATTTGTGTTGTACACGTAAAGCATTCTACCCCTCTGCAGAAGTGATAAAGATTGATAATGTGACCAACAAACAACATAAATTTCCAACCCCATTTCCTTAAGCTTAATCATACAGTAGAATTGGAGATTTGCCTTCTAACATCATGTGTCAAAGATAGGCACATGTTTAAGTCATATAATATTTTAGCTTAAACTGAGAAATAGAGTCTCATTTGTGCTGGTTTAAAGATGAAAGCATCCAAAGCTCTTGATACATAAAAGCATGAGAGAATCAAATGGTGAGGATTTATGAGGTCCCTAGGACAGATGTCCCCACTGAGAGCCAGCAAAAAAATGAGGACAGTCATTTTACAATTAAAAGGAACTAAATAAGAAGAGCTCATGATCCAGAAATAAATATAGACCAGAGCACTCAGAATGAAATCTTGACTAGAGAAATTAAATACACATGTGTGTTAAGTCCCTAAATATATGATAATTTGTTATACAGCAATAAAAAGTACTATACTAGTTTACCAAGCAAACAAGAAGTGTGTCCCATAAAACAAACATGGACTAGGGGTTTAGCACTCAAATTGTCCTTTTACCTGTTAGTTTGTCATAGCTACCTCAAAGCAGTCAGATAAGTAAAATGCTTATACGGATAATTTAAAACTTCATATGAATATTAAACATCATATACAGGTTATTTTTCTTCTTGTTTACTTGACAACTATATTTCAAAAGCTATCATAGCCAACTTATTGGCAGTAGTAAAATCCCATTAAAGAGTTCTACCTAACCTATTCTGATCCAGTAGTAGAAGGAGACTGAAGTACCACATGATGTCTTCTACTCATTCATCCATTTACTCAGAACTGAGGAAATACATCCTAGACATTAATAGTGACCCGGTATCTACTGTCCTGTACATTTTGAATAACTGTTGCATAGAATCCATGGTGTCTCGGTAAGGATAAAGCAGCAGATTGTTTTTCTTGCCCATTTTTCCCTTACTTGGACAACCTTCTATCATACCTCCTAATTTTCACTTCAGTCCTCTGCTCTGACAGGAATGGCTTCTTATCCATTTGGAGTTTCCATTCTAACACCAACCTAAGTTTACTTCTTTGCCTTTTGACACCTTGCTGGAAAAGCATAACTGCTTGCTGAAATAGCTTTTTTTTTTATCATCATCAGAGTTGACATTCTTTGGAAACTTCTACCTCCTTATAGTCAGAAAGAGGAGGATATCATTATCATTAAATGTCCTGTAGCTGAGTATGGTCTGAAATCAGTGATGAATGATTCATAGATTGTTGAGCTCTAAATATTTTCAATATATTGTAATAATCATCAACATAGTTTAATAAAAATGAATGGCTATAATATCCCATGTCTGTAATGTTAAGAGCTTTAGTGCTTTTCTAACAAATACATTGTATAAAACATTAACTGACCACATTCTGATTGGATTTCATTTTTTATCAATTTAATTTCTCTCTTGAATGGCAAGTGGTTGTGATTTATTTCCATATAAATTTCTCACACTTGTTTCATTAAAAAGTGACTTCTATTTTTTATTATGATTTGCTATTACAAGTTGAAATCATCAGAAAACTGGCCATTCTCAAAATTTCTGGTAATTCTTATCATATTTTCTCAAATATACAATCAACACCAGTTCTTACTCAAAAGAAAAATGTCAGAGTTTTAATTTCATATTTCATGCCACTATTATTTCCTTAAGGAAAAATTCCATTCTCTTATTGCTGCAACAAATCCTAATTCCAATATCACATTTTCTCATAGTCCCCTTTCAATTTTAATTTTATTCACAAATCTGACACATCTCTGGTAACTGCTATGATTTAGTCCACTCTTTCTTCTCCTTTCGCTCCTGCATTTCCTCATTATCTTTTTCTCTTCTTCAACTTCTCCTTTCCATTCTCTTCCTCCTCCTCCTTTTCTTCCTCACCCTACCCCTCCAAGCAGCTGTGTCCCCAAAACAACATCTAGGAAATTAAAGATAATTGTATTTAAAGGGTCTAAGATGGAAAACAGTTTGAATGTGTGAAGAGACTCCAAGTAATCATTTTACGAGGACGTACTCTGAATATTTTGATTGCAACCTAAATTTAAGGTGATGAGTCACAACTACAGCAGTATGTCAGTGATACACACTGAGGATTAAATAGTGATCATCTTCAAAGTCTCCAGTATTTCTAGCTATCTCAGTCAACCGATTGCATTATATATTATAACAAAAGCATGTTTATCTATAAACAACTCTTTTAAAACATTTTCAAAAATTCTACTATGAATCAGTAAATGATCCATGCCTATAATTTTAGTTAATAAAGAGCTGGTATATGGAGGATCCTAGTTTGAAACTAGCTGTAACAAAAATGTTTACTAAACTTTATTTCAAAAATAACCAGCAAATAGCAAGACTAGAGGTATGGCTTCACAGAATACCACCTACCAAATGGGAGACCCTCAGTTCAAACCGCAGTACCACCAAAAACAAAAATAATTCTTTGTCGGGTGCCAATGGTTCCGCCTATAATGCTAGCAATTCAAGGGGCTGAGATCTGAGGATTGCGGTTCAAAGGCAGCCCAGGCAGGAAAGTCTGTGAGACTTTGATGTCTCCAATTAGCTACCAGAAAATCTGAAGTGTTGATGTGGCTCAAAGTGGAAGAGCATTAGCCTTGAGCTGAAGAGCTCAGGGACAATGCCCAGGCCCAGAGTTCAAGGCCCATGACCAACAACAAAAATAACAGCAATAATTCTTCAGCTAAATTAAGTAATATATTATCTTAAAACTCACAATTTCCTTAAGATGGCCAGGAATTCTGCAAACTTTTCTGGGGCTTCTTTCTGTTTGAGCAGACCATGTGCTTTTTTAATATGAATAGTTATATTGTGTAAATCATCAGATTTGTCCTCTTCTGTTTTGTCCATTTGTTTTCTGAACAAGGAAACAATATTTTAAGATATTACTTACAGCACAAAAATTATGGACAGGAACTTTTACTTTATTGTCAACAGTAGAAATACAACTGCTGTGAGGTAATCTGGCACTTTATAACATGATGTTTTTCAATGCCTTAGAATATTTTTCAGTCAGCAGTAGTGTACTTCTACTTGTCACTCTGTTAAGTTAGAATTTGGCATATATCAAATATTTCAGTGTATACAACTTGATTGCATGTGTTATAAGTCATAAGTTATAAAATAACTTCCAGAATAATAGGTCTCTATTATCTAAGGAAAAATTTCATACCAATAAATAAGTCCCTTCTCTTTACACTTGGACACTTGTTTTTCAGTGTTTTTATTATGGATGTTGTTTCCTACTGATAAACTATGAATGTCTTAGAGATAACCTCCATAACTAATTCTTGCTCTATAGTATGTTACATACTTAGTTCCTGAAGAGATGCATGAATAAATAGCCCTATTTTATATTACTGTGTGTGTATTCTCATTGAGATGTCATTTAAGGGAAAGGAATCCAACATGTATTTTCCAGAGATTTTTAGAAGTAAAACTTTACTAATGTGTGTGGTCTTCCTGTACAATTATCTCCTTAGAAGCTACATAAACCTAGCACAAGCACTTAACCATAGATTTTATTACTACTTTGTTTTTAGGACAGATGTGTTAAAGATATATGTATGTCTTTAAAAGGACAGTTTCGGTTTTACATCTGAAGCTGCATGGAAATGAAATGATTCTTACTGGTATCCATAACTTGCTCTACCTTGTTGTTCTTCAACAGTCTGTTCATGACATTTTAGAATACAGTTTATATTACTGATGTATAAGATTCTAGTGCCCAGCATCTTGTATATACATTGTTCTAATTTGGGAGGTAAAGGGAAATAACAAAATGCTGAAACAAGGATACAGGTTGACCCATTGTAACAAGACACTATGTTGAAGATGAACTTTACAATTTGGACAGAGTGGGGTAGGGAGAGGGAGGGAAGGGAGGAGTTGAGGAGGTGGGGAGGGAAGTGATAGTATAGGAAAAACAAAGGATAGGTAACAATGCTCAAAGGAAAGGTACTCATTACCATATTCATGTAACTGTTACCCCTCTGTAAAATATCTTTATAATAAAAAATATTTTAAAAATTTCATGATATATGTATGTACCACAAAGTATTTTTATTTTTCCATTTTGATAATTGGTATGCTACCGGATATTTTTCCAAGTTTGATTTTTTTGTTGTTCCTGTTACTGTTTTTTTTTTGTTTTAACTTTCTTAATATATTTGTAATATAAGATTTCTTGTGTTATTTTCATACATACACAGAGTGCACTTTGAAAAAATTCACTACATCCATCATATTCACATTCTTCTCCCCCCTTTTCAAATAGCATTTGTTGAGTTCTATTATGTTGATAAATAAATGGACCAATGTTTTCTAAATGCCTAATGCATATTAGAAAATTATGCATCTGTAAAAGCCCATAGCTCAAAATATAGTTTTCATAATTAACAATGGCTAGAAATTGATCATAGTATAGATTAGAAAGCAAATACCTTAACTGGGTGTAATCTGTAATCCTAACTATGATGTGGGAGGACCACAAGATCCATCTCAACCAACAAAAATTCGGGCATGGTGGTGGATGCCTGTCATCTCAGCTCTGCAGGAAGTATAAATTGGAAACCATGGTCCAGGCCTGCCCAGACCAAATAAAAATCAGACCATAAGGGTATGACTTAGTGGTAGACAGTCCACAGTGTATGTATGTAAACATATGAGTGTATATGCGTGTGTGTTCCTCCAATAAAGTTTTACACATTTCTTTAATTCCAGTTCTTTAATTAACCTCACTTCTTTTTGGTAAATATAAAATTTAATATGTAACAATTTGAGCCAGAGTAATATAAGGACAACTTAAGATATTAGCTATAGAATTTTTCCAACCAAGTAAAATATTTATGAGTAAATTCCCACTCCCAGAATGTAAACTTTCAAGCTTTATCTTGTTCTAAACAAGAGTGCTGATGCTGTCACACATGTTGCCAAATATATCCAAAGTTAAAATTGAGGACTTAAAGGGCAACTTCCATTATGGACATTTGACAGTAAACATTGGAATTCTGTCAGTTCTTGTTTGTTTGTTTTTTTAAGAAAAACCTTTGAAGGTTAGAGAGAAGCAAGCAATATTTTCCAAATTTCCGTTAATGTTCACCCTAAACTCAAAGTCTCTTTTTATTTAAAAAAAAAAGATCAGTTAAAAATTAACGGTTGAAATTTGCTTTGTGAAGGTTTAAATGTGTTTGTGACTAAGTATCACTATTCCACAATACTGTGAAATTTATAGAATCACTTAATCTCAATAAAAAATTATTTTAAAAATTAATTGTTGGATTATGGGCATCAGTGGCTAGCTTATATTCCTAGCCACAGCAAAGGATGAGATCTGAGGATTATGGATCAAAGCCAGCCTGGCGGAAAAGTCCTTGATACTCTTATTTTCAATTAAGCCCACAAAAAAGCTAAAATGTTAGCTTTGAGCACAAAAACTCAGGGACAGTGTCCAGACCCTAAGTTCAAACCCCAGGACCAGTCACATATACAAATAATGATAATAACAGTTAGACTATCATGTATTCTTTAGGTTAAAGTAGTAATACATTTATCTGAGTATATGACAAGTTGTATGCACATGGAAATCAAGTGGTTTAGAAAAGATTATTCGATTTCTCTTCTAAAAACAAATTAAGATTAAAGAAGCTCAAGTCAATTTTTTAAAAAGCTATGATATTCAAAGTACTTACAAAATAAGAATTAAGTATCAAGTTCCATATTCACTCATAGCTTCCATTCTTTCTGTTCACAATGCAATTCAAATGGCATTTGCTCAACTCCTAACTCAGACATAAAGATGTTCATTATCTTCATTACCTCAGCCCACAGGTAGAAATTATTTTAATTTTTCTACTTTAGGCTCAGTTGATTTTCCCTCCTCCCATAGAACGTTGCTGAGTTTGTCACATACCTGAGTGATTACAACTACATTATCTAATTGTAAAGATTACTAGATTTGGCTCATTTTCCTAAATTAGCTCTTTGTCAACTTCTTGCCCACTCACTGGATAGCTTTCATTGAACTTCGTATCCAGCTCCATGTCCACATCTATAGACAGCCTTCCTATGTACTCATGTCCTCTACCTATGATTGCTATGAATTGCTGGTAAAAACAGAAAGCATCACTCTATTGATTTATTTACACAGTTACTCAAGAAATGTTTAATTTACTGAGAAGAATTTAATACAGAGAAAACAGAGTCTGTGAGTTTTCAGAATTTCCCTTCTTTATTCTAATATAACCTCTACAAGTAAACCTGGTTACTATAGGGCTAGTCTAAGTAATGAATGAGGAAAAGCACCTTAATTTGGGAGACTGTAAGAAGTCAATAAGGAACATAGTCAAATTTCTTGTTACAAACCATACATATTCTGACAGAAGTGCCAAAATTTCAAATATATCTTTCAAGTCAAAGAATATACTATCTAAAAAATAAAAATTGGAATTTCTTCCTTAAGTATACATGGTCTTTGATTAATAGGATTTATATGATAATGTGTAAGCATTTATTGTGCATATACATCTGAAATTAAATATCATAACTAGTGGTGTTACATTTGTTCCTTACTCAGATACTAGCAAAGATTTCCTTACAATGAGGAATAATGCTAATGAATGTCTACTGGTTCCTTAAATCAGGTCCCATGAAAATCCCACAAAAGTTACAGAACTCTAAGATTTTAACAATTTCCCAGGATTGCATTCTGATATCACCTCTGCTTCTGGGCTTCTTTTTCCTTAAATGTACTCTTTATCCAGAAAATAAAGCCAACTTTATCCAAAAAATAAAGCCAACATCTTATATTTCCTCAATAACAAAACTGAAAGCAATCCCTCATAGCACTTATAACTATAACAGAGTTTAGCTGAAGATACCCTAAAGAGTTATTGGGTCATAAGTGACACCATGCACTTAAAATTTGTTGGCAGATCTTCTTTCCTTAGATCTTTTCACCACCACCTCAATACTCATGGTTTCCCCTTACTCAATACTGACCTTCCTTCCACTATTTCATGGTTTATTTTGCCTCTTGCCTATCTTTTTCTCTGCATGGCTTTATTCCTAGATTTTCCCACAACTCCAAATTAAAATAACTCTACCAGGCCAAACAATTCAAGCCTATCAGCACCTACATGCAGATTCACGCAACTAAATTTGTCAGGAAGAAAGCAAAATAATAGTTATATTTATCATTATAATAACATTTTTAAAGTCCAAACTTGAAATTTTCTTGTAACAGTCTACCTCAATGCAAAGAAATCCTGTCTGAAGGTGATTTGTACAAATGGCCATCTTTCCATCTTGATACTACCCTATGCTATCTCAGATATCATTTTAACATCATAGGAAAAGATTTAATATTGGCCATAACAGGCAAGACCATGGCTGAAGCAATTCAATTTTTATTAACTTTCTTCTGCTTCCCTTCAAAGAATTACCTAACTCTCCAAAATGTTCCTCTCACAAGCAGGTACATAGTTGGTCCTTCATTTTTCCCCCATTTTGCCTTTATTTTCTCCTCTCTTTATCCTTCCTTCTTTTACTTTGACTACCTCCCTAACCAATCCTCCCCCACAGCCACTACACACATCTTTTTTTTGGGGGGAGGGGGTCCGGTCGTGGGGCCTGAAGTCTGTGCCTGGGCCACTGTCCCTCAGCTCTTCAGCTCAAGGCTAGTGCTCCTACCACTTGAGCCACAGCACCACTTCCGGGTTTTTTCTTCTTGCTTCTGTGGTGCTGAGGAATCGAACCTAGGGCCTCATGCATGCAAGGCAAGTGCTCTACCATTGAGCCACCTTCCCAGCCCCACTATACACATCTTAATACATGAGATATAGATGTCAAGATTTACAT